TTAAGATCTTGACGACGAACTACCGACTACGTTTGAAATAGTTTTTGTTATATCACTTATAGTGTGCAAATACTAAATGCTTGTCATAACAAATTTATCCCAAATTTGTTTTTTGTCCATTCTTTATAAAAATACTCTCCAACCTGCAACGTTGCGTAGTCAGTTTCAGTGCTATCTTCTTGATTCTGTTTTACTTAAGACTGTGATTTTTACGATGTAGCCAAGGTCGCTACGGTGAAAAGTATGCTCTGGGGATATGTAAATTTTGTCTGCCTCTGTTAAAGCAATGCGAAAACAAGATTTCAACCGTACTCCGTAACCGTTGTTCGTTGTCAGCATCTTAAACTCCTTAATTATGGAACGGCAATGGTAAACTCGTTGAATTAAATGATTACCGAAGAAAACTTGCATGTCGTCTATTATCCATCGTATGAAAAACAGTACAGTTTGAAGATAAACGTTAACACCGGGTTTATGATTGAGAAATGTTCTAGGACCCAATTCAAAAGCAGTTGTCCCAGCTTGAAATGCAAGGTTGTATACAATTATTATTATCTGTATTTTGCCGTTGTAAACAGAGCAACGGCGACGTCTAAAACTCGCGTGGGATTTTAATTGTTCATTTCTGTTCATTTTCTTGCATTAATATGATATTAAAGCTGGTTTTCCATCAGGCGGTATTTTGCGCGCGGAGCGGAATTTTTCTTTGTCTTGTGATTTCTCGAGATGAAACTAATTAAAAAAGACAAAAAAAAATATGCTCCGCGCGCAAAATTCCGCCTCGTGGAAAACCGGCTTAATAGCCGTCCTCGTTGCACATTCGTCCGGCCAGTTGCGATTCTTAATAACAGTAGTTCTTTATAATTATAGAAGTTTATATATTTAAGAAATGTTTCTTGCCATGTCCCCGTACTATAGATTATGCCTTGCTTAAGTTCGCTGATATTTTAGTTTGGTACTTCTGATTTTTGTCATGTGCCGTGCAAGTGCGCGGAACTCTCGCTATCTGCGTACTTTTTTGCTGGTACCATACAGTATTCATAACCGCACTTGAGTATAACCATGTGTAAAAATCCAATATCTTTGACTTGTCTTTGCATGAAACACCATTGGACTGATGGAATTAAGAAATATTGGAGTCGAGTGTGTGGTTGTATCAGTGCAATTGTGCTCCTTATTAACTCAGAGATTCAGGTTATTGAATAGCCTGCGTCGCTGGCGGTTTTAAGGGGTTGGGGTTGAGGCACAGAGTAATTACATACATATAGGTTTCACTTCTGTGAAAAAACTTTAGCGCACTTGCTAAGAACATGGTGGACTGGAAAATCACTTACGCTAAATTAACCTGAAGTGATATCTCTGTATGTAATTACTCTGTGGTTAAGGCGAGGGCAGCGAATAATTAGGGAAGCCTCGATCCCATCCCCTTAAAACCAACAGCTACGCAGTCTAGTTAGGGACCGGTCATAACAGACATAAAGTAACTGCTAGGGTGGGCTGGAGTGATTTGGGATGGGCCATGGAAAATCTTTGGCCAGATTCGATGAGCCGCCAATTTTTTTGTATGCCCACGGTTGGGCCACCAAACAAAACCCATGTTAATTATATATTACATAAAGATATTAATAATAAAAGTAAACAAAACTATCCAAATTATCAAATGCAAATGATGCTATTGAAGCCAACTGGTACTTTGTTTATACAACAACAAGAAGTGGTCGAATCACAGCAAATACAACCAGCAGCTCAGTATCGTAATTGGTGATGAATGTGTTGGTCAAGCATGGTGGAATTATGTATGTTAATACATTGCCGTGTATATTTACAACGTTCATACCTGCAAGTTTTTTTATTATAAAAGTGTATTTTCCCAATTTAGATTTGGTGGGTCATGAAAAAATATTTGTAAGATTAGATGGGCCCTGAAATTTTTATCTACATCCTAAGATGGGTCACCAAACTTTAATATTGGCAAACTTTGTGATTTACCTCCAGCCCACCCTAGCAGTTACTTTATGACCAGTCCCTTACTGAATGAATACTGTACCTTTTAGGAAACTGTGCTTTATGTAGTATATAATTGCGCCCTTGCATTTTATGATAAAACCCTATGACGAATACAATAGATGCCGTTTCGTTAGTATTTTTTATGAACTAAAAATCTTGGATTATCGCACCCTGATTTACACACAAAATACAATCTAGATCTGCCTATGCTGAAGGTACAAATTATTTCTACTGTTTTCAGCAAGAAGATTCCAACTTTGTTTAGTCTTCTGAGTGCATTGGATGAACCTAGACCTGTCGTTGTACGATATGGAGGTAAATAAAGATAAATTTCAAGCACATTTCAACATAATTCTGACATTTTGGTCCGACATGATGGCACACTAATTATTTAAACAAAACAGAAAAGTTGTACATTTGAAATTTGAATATTCAATATAAGAATAGGTTATCATATGAGGGGCGAGGCGTTATCAGTTTTATCGCTTGAGGGACAGTATCATAAATGTTACGAGTGAAAATGCAGCATTTTGATTGATCCGGAGATATACTATGCATGTATTGTGCATGCTTTGTAAGTAAAATCCAGGACGTTCAAACCCCATTGAAACGCATATACAAGGAGCATTATTCAGGACCTATACATAACCTGTGTACTGTGTACTGTGTAAACAGTATATGTTATTTCTTTTGCCAGACAAGACATCGTACGTGTCTGACATAACACTACATATCATCTTCAGCTGTCAAAATCCTCCTCTACTTCTGACGTATGACTCGTTCCTAGGAGTACATTCTCTGTGGCTTGTGCGAGAGGCAAGAAAAGAGGTATGAATTATTCTGACAGTGATTTAAAAAGTAGCCTGCGTGCAGGCCCAAGGGAACTGATAGTGGGCCTGCAACCATCGCGCGGTATTTTGTAAAACGCCCCTTTTCATAACACGCCCCATTCGCGCGTCAATTGTCAAAAAAGAACCAATGACAGCACCCAAATATTAACAAACAAACTCGCATTAAAATGTTGCGGGGTTTTCTCTGCTTATTCAGAACACTAATAAACAATGTGTAAATGGATGCGTTTTAACTCCAAAAAAGCAAGCAACGCAGTCAGTAATTGCCAAATTTGCAAGTGCTCATTTTCAACTAAAATCGGAACAGGCAAATTAGGACGAATTTCAACAGAAAACCAGTCTCAAACTTCAAATCATGAGGGAAGTCGGGCGACCACATTAGGATTTATATTATGTGTGCTTCGCTGTCGCCATTGGCATTGTTATAAATAAATTGTCTCACTTATCAGATCGTGTGTGCAATTCTTGTTGGCGGCGGAAAGTACGAACTTTATTTCATTTGGTAAAGAACTCTACAAAAGAAGAGAGCGTTCCGAGTCCAGATCGTTTCGTTTCAAACGGCAATTTAATACCACCTTCTGTTTCGCTCTCTCAGCGAAGCCTTGTAAATCGCAAAGTGTTTCGAATAGGCTTACAGTCCTTACATGCAACTGCATCTCAACATCACCCAAAAGATAATTTTCTTGAGGAAGTGAGAACACATAACGTATCAACTGAAGTCTGTTTGAAATTAATGAAACTCAAGTAAAGGTTACTATAGTTTACCCCAGTCGTAATTTGCTATTCCAACACCTCACGACAAGCAATCCCCATTGGCATAACGGCAAAAACATGTCTTCCTTCAAGTAAACAATAAACAGTCTGTTCTTGTTCCATTTGTAATCGAAAAAAGTGATGAATTTTCAAATTTTAAGCTTATCGAGAGCCTTTGTCTATGCCTTTGTGATGAATCACTGTTCCCTGGGGCCTGCATGCTAGGTTAATTAATTACCGATCGCCTCAGCTAGCCAATGGGAATTTAGCCGGCGGTTCGGCCGGCGAAAATCGAAAACATGGGGTGATGGTTGCAGGCCCACTATCAGTTCCCTTGGGCCTGCACGCAGGCTATTTAAAAAGTAGCCCTAGCCCCAATGTTGACTTCTTTAGTATTGCACGTTACCCCCATCTCCCAGGGAAGGGGTCTTTTCTGTCCAAAATATAAGGAGAAAAGAAAAGTTAACTTAGTTAATAAGAGTGTGATTATAGACTGATCATCATCATCCCTGAGATTCAACATTTCAGAGTACGGTTTTTTCGGCGGTCGAAAAAAAGAGTACTCTCTCTACACTTGTGGAAATGTTGATAATTATGGACGACCCCTAAAGGACGGTCATTTATAATGGCGTTGGGTGGCTCCGAAGAGAAAAGAATTGGGTAAACAAAATGTTGAGTGAGTGAAAGGTTGGGTAAATGAAAAACAAGACAACTCAGACAAGGGTTGGGTAATAAAAAAATATTGTCATTTCCAAAGCATGACTCACTCAAATATTGAAGACTAAAAAGCAATGTCAACAGTCATATGTAAATTAATCAGAGTCACTATCTCGATCATTTTCCGATTTGTTGAAAAACATTTCTCTTCGGTGCCACCCCACGCCATAGATAATGACCGATCCACAATGTAGCTAAACTAAAATCTTGTATGCTATATATGAAAGCTCTATCAGATCTAAACTGTTTTCCCTGGAGATCCAGTATTGTAACACTGCGCCATGAAGAAACGGCCGTAGGAGGAAAGTTAAATTAAACTACAGCCTCGGTGAAGCAAGGGTGACAGTTGACGAGTGCCGCAACTCTCGCTCGCGTTTGACCACCAACTCTCATCGACTCTCATACACTCTCATCATCTTTGAGCTAGTTTAAATTTTGATGAGAATTTTTGCTTGTTTAACCTGTAACATTTCACCAACTTACATACATTTGTCAAACTCTTTCTTCTCAACTTTCATCCTCGTTTGAGTGGGACTTTATGTGTAATTTTAAAGACCATGTCAAGTCTGTAATGTGAACAAATCCTTTGTTTACATTTTGAACTGCTATAGTTGTAAAATAAGACATACTAACTGAATATCTAACACTTTTCTGGTTCGCAATTGTAAATAAATATAAACTATAGAGTACGTTTCAATTAAAAAAAGTTCGAAAGATGCAAAATTAGGGCAATGTTTATATCTGTGGGTCCCCCTTTGTTATGAGCAGAACTGATGCGCAGAACGGACTTGACATGGTCTTTATGATACTTTACCGATCTTTATCTGATATACAAACTCTTGCCTTCGACTCGATAAAGATCGGATGGGGATCGGCTGCTCATATTTTAACCAGTACATATTATATTAGTATTAATTTACACTCGAAATTTGCATCTAGAAAAACCCTTCTGCAACAATTTCTTGTAGGAATATCCAGAACCAACAATAAGTAGCGATTCCTCGGATTTCCTCCCCCACCCCCTCAGTCAACGATACCCCACTCCAATATTAAAGCCCGCAGCATATTCTCGCCTCTCTGCCGCAGCTTCCCCTCCCTCTTTCCTCTCGCGTACCTCATCGCCATCTGAAAAAGGAGCGAGCAGGTTCCCACATTCTCCCTACGTATCGTCGCCTCAAGTTTCAAGATTTCATTCTGCTAGAACACTGCTTCAGTCTCCTGGTCAACATAGCTTTGGTAAGTTTGAAACAGAGGTAGATTCTCTGGGGGTGTGGAGGGCTGCACCACCTAGCCCACGCAAACTTTATAAGATGAAATTTTGATTATATCAACTGTCGTGCTTTGTGCCTGAACTATACACGTAAAAACTACACGACTGCAAACAAGTTGTTACAAATCTGCTTACAAGCTGTCGACAAGTTGTGTTCGCACTGCTTGTTCCCAGTTGTTGTAACAAGTTTGGAACAAGCTGCTTTGACACATTGAGAAATCATTTTTCTCCTAGTGCTTCGATTTTATTTGAACGCCACGCGTTATTAGATGAGATATTGATTGGATAATCTATTTCGTTCTAGTGGATTCACCCTCTATTCTTCAGTCTCCCGACATATTCCGCTCTCCTGCAACAATGACGAACAGTTTTCACGAAGAGACATACTGGCATTGCATTGAACCTCTAGAACCTGAGATATGTCTTGAACATATCTGGGAAGAAGCTTCTACTGTCCGGTAAAGTGATGGAAAAATTAAGAAAACTTATGTAGCGACATCGTATTAATTTAAGTCTGTTCTCTGAAGATCGGAACTTCAAACCACAAAACATCGACCTATATAATGTTTTTGAGAAAAAATATTTCTAAAAAATATTTCTGAAAGGTCATACAGTGTAATTCTTTATTATTTCAGACATGCCAGTAAAGGACAAGCAAGTAAAGCCTTTATAACGGCTGATGTTTGTGGAGTGAAATACATCTGCTTTCTTGTTCCACATATTTCAAAATTAAGGTAAAATGTTTGCTGCTATAGTTAGGTGAGATAAAGCCTTCATATGGAAAATGTAATACCACTTGACTGGGATTCCCACCTAGCGCAAGGTGTGATCCCATCTAGCTGGGCCGGCTTGTTTCTTATATGAACACAAATTGAATTTTATATGCAATAACAAAGGGCATGCATGCAAATCTCACTCAGGCGAGTTCCCCGATTAGCTGGGCGAATTATCCTTTCTCACGAAGGCCAAAATCCGCCATTTTTGGGGTACTGTCTGCCCTCGTGAAAGATTCTTGACAATTCAAACAACGTGAGAAGCGACTTTTAAGAGTTGTAACTGTAAATTTACCATTATACAAACAACTATATTACTATGCTTGTGATGTTACTCTGAGTGTATATCCACACCGGGCAGCCTTCCCACCGTGGCCAAGCATATTTTTCAAGCCTGCCCGGTGTGGATATACATTCAGAGTAACATCACAAGCATCTTATTCACCTGAGTACATTACACCAACACAGCAAATATCATAACTATACTACTAAAAAATCGCATTTCCTGGTGCAGAGATTCTCAAACGTGGGAGAGGCAGTACCCCCAAAATGGCGGAAAACTAGGCCATGAGAAAGGCTAATTGCTACTTAACTCGTAACAAAAGACATGCGCAAGTTACTTAGTTAGGCCTACGGGATTTTCGCCTGGATATAGAATGACCAGCAGCACCTGGCGAGTGTAAGCACACTTAACAGGCTGAAAAGTTGAATCGTTAATGTTATTTCCCAGCTTGACAAAATTCAGTTGTGGCGACAGGCCAGATCAGATCATATTTGGAACCACATTTGATATTCCAGCTGTTGATGCTGTTTCTATTCAGGTAATATATTTTTTATTTAATTAGTGTATTATTAGAAGGCAATTGTCAAGATATTGTTTTGCCCTCTCATTCGATCGAATAATAGTTGAAGGATTTTGTATAGATGGAAATTATTGAGTAGAAATTTATATACAATTAGTAACGTATAAATACCTATTAGTAGTGAGGTCAAGATACCCCAGTTTCGGTGTACGGGTACGGGTACGAGTAGCATGATTTTGGTTAGCAATATTTTCGTCGATGTCTGTACCTTTACTCGTAATTAAGGTGCACATTTTTCGCATTATATCATTGTCTATTGCAAGAAAACAGAAAAAGTAAGATCGAATTACAGACATCAGTAAAACAAGATGACACTACTCGTACCCGTACACCGAAACCGGGGTATCTTAATCTCTCTAGTAGAGAGGTTAAGATACCCCGGTTTCGGTGTACGGGTACGAGTAGTGTCATCTTGTTTTACTGATGTCTGTAATTCGATCTTACTTTTTCTGTTTTCTTGCAATAGACAATGATATAATGCGAAAAATGTGCACCTTAATTACGAGTAAAGGTACAGACATCGACGAAAATATTGCTAACCAAAATCATGCTACTCGTACCCGTACACCGAAACCGGGGTATCTTAACCTCTCTTACAAAGATATCTCTTAAAGCCGAGTTGATAGCTTGCTCTATTTGTTGTAAACTGTTCTTTTTCGACTTGTGTACTACAAGGGAAAACTTTCAACACACTAACTTTATCCAGTAAATGCCATTGTTAAATGTTTAATCATTGCATTGATTGTTTTTAGGATCTCAACATGATACTTGTCCTTACTCCTGAAAATAATTTAACATTGTACACCGGAAAATACAAGGTAACTCTGGCGGTCTGAGTTCTGATCAGAATTAATCCAAGTCGTGACGATTATCAGGATGTGATAATTCGCGTACTTACGCCAATATTAGGAAGTTTACGATCTACGACGCGGCCGCCTCGACGACGCGCTTTCAAAACAAAGAAATTTGGTGTTTCCACAAACAATAGTATTATGTGTTTTATCGCCATGCAAATCTACAAAGAACTTACAAAGAAATTTGTCATGCAAGACAAAAACTGTCAATAATTATATTTGTGGTCCCATGAGTATTGTCAACCGCGTTGTGATTCTCAACACAACGTTAAAAAAGCATTTTCACGTCTTTCAGGCAACGCGAAAGCTTAATGCGACACAAGAGGTGTTACTAAAAGTCGAAATTACAGCAAACATTGCATCGCTTTAGCCGAACGTAGCATTTTGTCAGGTTATTTGAAAGAGTCAAATGTTTATTACAGTAATCGAATTGCTTAGCGCTCATTCTTGAGCTAAAATTTAGACCGCGTCGTCGAGCCGGCCGCGTCGCAGATCGTAAACTCCCTATTACGTTCTGGCACTTCTTTGTTTCCAACCAAGTACGACGTATGTACGCGGTACTCTCGCGATCTGCATCATTGTAGTCAACTGAACCTGTATGTGTTTGTATAACCGCGCGCGCGTCACGCAACATCAAAGCGCCGGGGACGAGGCTGGTATGCAATTGTGTTCTTGTAGTTTCGGGCTATCGTTGTTGTTGTTGTTGTTGTCGTCGTTGTTGTTGTCGTCGTCGTCGTTGTTGTTGTCGTCGTCGTCGTCGTCATTGCTATCGTTGTCGTCGTTGTTGTCGTTGTCGCCGTTGTCGTCGTTGTCGTTGTTGTTGTTGTTGTTGTTGTCGTCGTTGTTGTCGTTGTTGTTGTCGTTGTTGTTGTTGTTGTTGTTGTCGTCGTTGTCGTCGTTGTCGTTGTCGTTGTCGTCGTTGTCGTTGTCGCCATTGTCGTCGTTGTCGTTGTTGTCGTTGTTGTTGTTGTTGTTGTCGTTGTTGTCGTTGTTGTTGTCGTCGTCGTTGTCGTCGTTGTTGCTGCCGTCGTCGTCGTCGTCGTCGTCGTCGTCGTCGTCGTCGTCGTCGTCGTCGTCGTCGTCGT